GTTCGTCGCCAGTGTTAGAGAGAGAGAGAGAGAGAGAGAGAGAGAGAGAGAGAGAGAGAGCGGATATGGAATCGGCAATTTTTGTCACGTGGCGTTGGTGTTCGTCGCGAGTGTTAGAGAGAGAGAGAGAGACAGAGAGAGAGAGAGAAAGAGAGAGCACGTGATCGCGAGGAGTGTGGCTGAGGAGGTTCAACGTGCGCTATTTACGGACTGGGTGGATTTGTAGAGAGGAGAAAAGAGAATATATTGCGTCAAGATGGCGGATGCAGGTGAGTTAATGCATAGTTTTTTTTTTTTTTTTTTTTTTTTTTTCTTGAAGTAGGGAGGAGGGAGGGGGGGCGACGGGACGTTGGGACAGGGAGCGACACGAAGAAGGGCATCGGGATGAGGAGGGGACGATGCACGTCAGAAATCGGGATGAGGGAGGGAGGTGGAGAGTGAGATCGGGATGGGGTCGTCCGTCCAGATTTATCGCACATCAGGATGGGGGGAACGATGGGACGCCCGGATAGGTAGGGAAGGGAAAAGAGAAATCGGGATGAGGAGGGTGCATCGCACGTTGGGATAGGGCGGGAACAACGGGACGTTGGGATAGGAACGGACGGGAAGAGGGAGATTGCGACACGGTCGATCGTCGGGACGCCATCGAACAAGGAGCGACGGGGCGTCGGGATAGAGAGGGAGGGCAAGAGAGATTGGGATGAGGGAGGGAGGAGGAGAAGGAGATCGGGATGAAATCGGGATGAGGGAGGAAGGGGGAGAGTGAGATCGGGGTGGAGTCGCACGTTCAGATACATCGCACGTCGTGACGGGGGGAACTATGGGACGTCGGGATAGAGAGGGAGGGAAAGGGAGAAATCGGGATGAGGGGGAGAGGGGAAGAGGGAGATCAGGAAGGGGGAGAGTGAGATTGGGGTGGAGTCGCATGTTCAGATACATCTTACGTTGTGACGGGGGGAATTACGGAACGTCGGGATAGAGAGGGAGCGAAAGGGAGAAATCGGGATGAGGGGGAGAGCGGAAGAGGGAGATCAGGATAGAGAGGGGGAGGCACGTCGGGAGATGGCGGCGAGGTCGGGATAGGGAGGCCGAAGGGATAGGGAGGAAGGGGAAGAAGGAAATGAAGGGGGAAGGGGGAGAGGGAGATCGAGGTGGGTTCACACGTTGTCACTAGGGTGTTTCACCTGATGAGAGACATGGTACCTTCAGAATAGGGAGGCCAATCGGGATTGGGAGGGGAAAGTATACATGTCGGGGGGGGAGGGGGGGG